TAGAAGGCAGCTCTGTTACTCTGTCCTACAAATATGACCAAAAAGCATCAGGAAGTGATGAGTTTTACTGGTATCGACAAAATCCAGGAAAACCACCAGAGTTCCTGATCTCTCATTTAGGATCAGGATCTATTGGAACAGAAAAAGTCAGCGGACTGAAGATTGAAGTGAAGGATAAAGACATTAAAATGCAGATCTCCTCTGCTGCAGTGACAGACTCTGCTGCGTACTACTGTGCTGTGAGGCCCACAGTGACAGGAAACAGCACAACTCTGTACAAAAACCTCTGGAACAAAGACAAAACAATACTCCACAACATCCACCAGAGGGACTCACACACTGTTTCACTACTATAGTTTGTCTGCAGTCAGATGAGATTATTTGAGACTGCACATCTTAAGTTGTGTGAAAAGGATTAAATCTGACATGTTTTACAGAGCAGCAGCTTTTAAGGTGCATGTATATAAGCCTTTGAAAAGAGTATTGAATTAAATATTCACATGCCTATACAGAGCTGATCTCTAATAGGACGTGTAGAAAAAAATGTTTTACAATAGTAAAGCTTCTATTTGATCTGTGTGCTGAAAAGAGAATTCTATCAGTGGGAAGCAGGACACCAGATGTTATTTCATACCAGAATCCTTTGGAGGTACAAATACTGTTTAAACCACAAAACAATCACTGACTTCAGCCTCCTACTGATGCCTGCTGACACCTGCTAAGAAGCAGGACACCAGAGGTTTTTTATACCAGAAACCCCTAAATGAGTCAATCAAACTCTGAATTGGTCTAAAAACCTTTCAGTAATTGTAAGTTTCATAGGTTTAATGGACCATTTCCCCACACAATGTACAATTTACTGGTACATGAGAACATTTCAATTCAAACTTATACCGTTTATTCTACAAGGAGTGACAGATCCACATCAGCAGCTCCACTTCTGCAGCTGCTGCAAACACAGTGGAACACGGACACAAACTCACCAGATGTGCATCGCTTTGCATGACGTTAACATTCATTTTAGTCTCTGACAGAAGATGTCCGGCTAAATCCAGCAGCTTCTGTAGGTGATATCCAGAAAAAGCTGTGCCCAGCAGCCTGAAGGCTTTCCCCTGTAAAGGGCAGCTTTTCCTCCAGCAGAGGGCTCCATCCTCAGCAGGCGGAGCTCTGCTTCTGCTCTGTGTTCCAGCTTTCTGTCTATAAGAACTGCTGCTGTGCAGAGAACAATTGTCAGACTGAATGTTGAACTTCAGCTAGTTTCTCCTGCTGACTGAAACCTTGTTGAACAGATGGAACATTGGCTGTGGATTCTTCTTGCTGCTCTTGTCTTTGGTGAGATCAACATGTTTCCTTTTCAAACATGCGAAGACTTTGCTGAGCTTGAAGAGCTTTTAATGTTGATTGCACAGAAAATCCCAGCAGATCATTTCTGCTGCCTTTTGGTAGCATGTAAAAACTCCTTCTCTGGTTCAAAGGGGAAATGACATCTGTCCTACATGGAATAGAAGCTTTAAAGCTGCTGCTTGTTCTCCTGTAATCATCTGTCCTGATTCATTTCTTCCTCTGCATGTTCTGTTCTTCCTCAGAGTGTAAAGGACAAGACACAGTGACCCAGCAAACAGGAGATGTTACTGCTGCTGAAGGAGGCTCAGTCACACTCAGCTGTACTTTCAGCACGAGTGATAAATATCCTTATTTATTTTGGTACAAACAAGAAGCAAACAGCTCTCCAAAGTACATGCTGAAACGATACCCAAGCAAAGCATCAAAAGAAGATAATGCTCCGGAGTTTAGGGATGAAAGATTTGATGCTGAGCTGAGCGATAAATCAGTTCCTCTGAGGATCCAGAAGCTGCATGTGTCTGACTCTGCTGTGTACTACTGTGCTCTGCAGCCCACAGTGACAGGAAACAGCACAACTCTGTACAAAAACCTCTGGAGCAAAGACAACACAATACTCCACAACATCCACCAGAGGGCCTCACACTCTGTTTCACCTCTACAGTTTGTGAAAAATAGCCAGAATGCTCAATTTTCCAACACCATGTTTGCTGCATGCCTGCACCGTAGGTGGTTATAAAAGTTATATTTCATGATGAATAATGGAAAAATTTCAAAACAAACAAACTGGAACACATATTTGGAAAACATGCTCCCACTTTAGAGTTTTCAGCACAAAACATGAATAGATTGTGGAATTTCCACAGTGATCATTAATTTCCCACTGATTGAAACTTATCCCACATGTTTTACAGAACAGCTGCTTTTCACCTGCTCAGATGTCTGTTTTAAAGATGATCAGTTCTACGATGTGTTTTTAACAAGCTTTGAAATGTTTAAGTAACTGATCTTTGAGTGTCATTTTAAAAAACACTTTTCCCTTTAACATTTACCACATGTTTTACAACAAATCTTTTTAACATGAAGAAGAAAAACAGATTTCACTTTGTTTGAATTCTGGGATTTTTTCTAATTGAAAGAAGTTCTACGATGTGTTTTTAACATGTTTTGAAACATTAAAGTTCCTGAACCTTGAGAACTCATTTGGAAAAACAAATACCCCTTTTAACAGTTGTTAAACTGTTACTGCTATTTTTTTTAATTATTATTTAAACCACATAAAGGAATTTCATGGGGGAAATAATTTATGCTTGCAGAGACATTCACTTATAAATTTGAGATCTTCTAATGAATTTTTATTTTAATTAATTCAGTTTCCTTCTTTATCTTGCTTCTAACCTTCAGAGTTGTGCAAATATATGTTATACAAACTTAAATAAATGGGTTTGGTTTTCCATGAAGCCTTTGCTTTCAAACTAAAGTAAAAATGAAGTGTCCTTCTTTTTATTAATACCATTTCTGGATGAAAATAGTCTGATTCATGAGGAGAAATTTGCTGGAGTCAGAAATCCAAACTTCACACATGAAGACCTTAATGGGATTCAGACCAGGAAGCCTGTAAGAGTGAAGTGATGAGGAAACACCTCACCAACTTTGTGCACCTCTTTATTCGTGGACTGGACCTTCAGTGTAATCTGGGCCTCTAAAGTAAAAAAGATCAAGTCATTGAGAAACATTGATTGAATTTCCACACTCTGCCTTCTTGTTAACATTGCTCTACATGTATTAGAAAATAATGTTGAGTAGTTTTATTTTTCTTAGCTATGAACAAAGTATAACATTTTCTGAAACTTATCCCGGATGTTTTACAGATCTTCTTACCCTTAAAAAATTATGACATTAAAAACCAATGAGCCATTAAATCTTCTATTATATTCACTTTAGCAGCACAGCTTCATTACAGCCTTTTTTGAACACATTTACCACATGTTTTAGAGGAGTAAAGCTTCTCGTTGATCTTATTTGTTGAGCAGAGAATTCTATCAGTGGGAAGCAGGACACCAGATTTTTTTTATACCAGATACCCCAAAATAAATCAATCAAACTCTAAAGTGGTCTCTGAGGAACTGATTTTATTTTAAATAATGGAGCTGATCCAAAAGCAGGAATTTCTCTCAACTTATATTTTCAGTATGGATCACTAAACTGTTAGCAGGAGTAAGAGGAGCAGAGAGAAGAGAAAGTACAGATCAGAGAGGAGACGGAGAGATTCAGGGAGGAGCTGAGCTGCTTCTGAACTGTAGAAGAGACACAAAGTTCCACATTCACCACAGTTCAACACACAAAGCACAAACATCAACTTTATCCAGCATGGACTATTACGTACTTTCTCTACTTATCATCAAGATTCTCACAGGTACGTTACATCAGCGTGAATTATAAATTCATTCTAAAATATTTTATGAACATTTAAAACGGTTTTCTCTCTTTAGGTGTCAGCTGTGAAAAACTGTCTGCAGAGGAGAAGGAAGTGTCAACTTTAGAAGGCAGCTCTGTTACTCTGTCCTACAAATATGACCAAAAAGCAACCATCAATGAGTATTTCTACTGGTACCGACAATATCCAGGAAAACCACCAGAGTTCCTGATCTCTCATTATGGAACAGGAAAAGAAATATCAGATCCAGTTGATGGACTGTCTTATAAAGTGAGTGAAGATAAAACACAGATGGATCTGCAGATCTCCTCTGCTGCAGTGACAGACTCTGCTGTGTACTACTGTGCTGTGAGGCCCACAGTGACAGGAAACAGCACAACTCGGTACAAAAACCTCTGGAGCAAAGACAACACAATACTCCACAACATCCACCAGAGGGACCTCACCTCTATAATTTATGAAGAATAAACCCAAGTGTTTTGAACAGTTGAAAGTAGGCAGAGAACATATTTTTGTTATCACAAATGTAAATTCAAATGTATTTAATTATGATAACTATATCCCCTTAGTCACACATCAAGTTAATATAATCTGATTTATCACACGATAAATTTCCTAAAACAAAAGCCATAAAATTTTATTTAATGAACAGTGACCACATACAGTTATAAAGGTCATTCTAAAGTCTAACTGTGTATTACATAATAAACACTATTTATATAATTTTGACTTGGTCATGAGAGTGTTTTGAATTTGAATGTAAATAACATTTTATGATCCCTTCATGTGTCTGGATTAATCTTTCTGAATGTCCACAGTGACCAGTAAATTCCCTCTGAATGAAATTTATACCACATGTTTTACAGAGCAGCTGCTTTTCAGTTGTATGTCTATAATAATTTCATTCTAAAATCGAGTACCACAGGATTTAAAAGGATGAGTTTCTGTCATGGCTACTTGTAGCCAATAAACACCTGAAAGCAGAGTGATCTGAGGTCACAAAAACACTCAGCCTTCCTGTTCACATTTCTCTGCATGTGTTAGTAGTTGTGATCAGTCTGAACTTTCATAGCTATAAACAAAGTATAACATTGTCTGAAACCTATCCCAGATATTTTACACAGCTTCTTACCTTAAAAAATATATGACATTTAAAAGATAATCAACCATTAGATCTTCTTTTATGTTTTTTGTAGTAGCACAGTTTCTTTATAGTCCTTTGATTGACACTTTTACCACATGTTTTGCAGGAGTAACGCTTCTCTTTGATCTTTGTGTCGAGCAGAGAATTCTAGTGGGAAAATGCTTTCCCTGTATGTGGATAAGGTCTGATTTAAACACTCTAAAGACAGATTAAAACAACACACCCTCAAACAGATATATTGGTTTTACTATCACCACAGACCTCCAGGGAGACCTGGGCCATTAATTTGGAATATAAGTGAGTCTGAACAAACTGAAAACGAACGAGAAATAAATTAATATGAGGCCAAATCCTGGCTGATAAATATAAACGACATCTATATAGCCTGAGAGATACAGTTGGTAACATTAACTTTAACTAACTGAACGTGTTTCTCTGCTACCAGAATCTCTGTCCAGGATGCATTTGGGTTGTTTGAGTTTGAACAAAGAGGATTTTCTCAGGTTGTTTCAGGTGGGCTTTCTGGACATTCTTCCACCAGACTAACCTTTCTGGAGGATGATGATGGCGGTTGTGGCGTCAGCATCACTGTTTTTCTACAGCTTCCATCAGCCTGAATGGAAACAGAACACAGAGGAGGAGGAGCTACAGCTGAATATGAAAGGCCTCATGTTGGAACTGAGGAGCTGCTGTGTTCTCTCTGCTGTTCACTCACAACAAGAGAAAATAATGCTTCTGCTTTTCATTTGGATGATGACGGTCTCCCTTCAGACAGGTAAGTCAACCAAGATGGAAGCTTATGTCAAAACATGACAGAGAAAAACATTTAGCTCCTGTTTGACCTAACTTTTTTCTCAAATTAAAATGATATTAAATAAAAAGTATTCAAATCCCAACATAATGCTTTTTCCTGTCTTTGTTGCTTTCAGGATCCTCTGAGGATTTACTGACACCATTTAAATCTGTGCAGATGGGTTTGGAAGGAGAGACTCTGACTCTCTCCTGTAACTATTCAGGTTCTGTAAATTATCTCTTCTGGTACCGACAGAGTTCAGGTTCATCTCCACAGCTCATCATCTCAGGATTTTCAGATCAAACTGGAGAAAAGTTTTCTTTCAAACACAAAAACAAACAAAAGGAGTTTGATCTGCAGATCTCCTCTGCTGCAGTGACAGACTCTGCTGTGTACTACTGTGCTCTGCAGCCCACAGTGACAGGAAACAGCACAACTCTGTACAAAAACCTCTGGAGCAAAGACAACACAAAACTCCACAACATCCACCAGAGGGACTCACACACTGTTTCACGTCTATAATTTATCAAGAGTAAACCAAAGTGTTTTGAACAGTTGAAAATAGTTAGAGAACATCTTTTTACGATCATAAATGTAAATGCAAATATATTTAATTAAGATGACTATACCCCCTAAGTCGCATATCAAGTTAATATAATCAGATTTATCATACGATGAAATTCCTTAAAAAACAGCAATGAAATGTTCCTTAATGCATAGAGACCACATACAGCTATAAAGGTCATTCTTAATTCTAACTGTGTAACAGATGACAAACTATATTTAAATCTCTTTGACCTGCTCAGCAGAGTGTTTTGAATATATAAATGTAAATAACATTTTAGGATCCCTTCATGTGTTAGAACTAATCTTTCTGATTTCCACAATGACCAATAAATGTCCTCTGAATTAAACTTATCCCTCATGTTTTACAGAGCAGCTGCCTTTCAGCTGCATGTCTTTAAGCCTTTGAAAAGATTATTAGCTGATTGAAAAGCATAAATTGCTCTCCACCTATTGATTCAGTATGGAGCTACTAAATTGTTTAGCAGGAAGAAGAGGAACTGAAAGAAGAGAAAGTACAGATCAGAGAGGAGACGAAGAGATTCAGGGAGGAGCTGAGCTAGAAGAGACACAAACTTCCACATTCAACACACAAAGTACAAACATCACCTTTATCCAACATGCTGTCTTTGCAGACATTTGGATTCACTCTGCTGTTTATGCTCATTGTAACAGGTTTGTTTGATTCTTTAAAGACACATTTCATCATTTTTTCTTTGTTCTTCACTTATTTGACTACTCTCTTCCTTTAGGTGTCAGCTGTGAAAAACTGTCTGCAGAGGAGAAGGAAGTGTCCACTTTAGAAGGCAGCTCTGTTACTCTGTCCTACAATTATCCCAAGCTGACAACTAGTAATTATTTCTTCTGGTATCGACTATATCCAGGAAAACCACCAGAGTTCCTGATCTCTCACTCAGCATCAGGATTAACTGGAACAGAAAAAGTCGGATGATTGAAGATTGAAGTGAAGGATAAAGACGTTAAAATGCAGATCTCCTCTGCTGCAGTGACAGACTCTGCTGTGTACTACTGTGCTGTGAGGCCCACAGTGACAGGAAACAGCACAACTCTATACAAAAACCTCTGGAGAAAAGACAACACTATACTCCACAACATCCACCAGAGGGACTTAGACACTGTTTCACTGCTATAGCTTATCAGCAGTCAGATGAGATTATTTGACAATGTGCATGTTGAGCTATGTGAAAAGGATTAAAACTGAGATGAGGCTAAGATTTTTCCACACTCTGCCTTTTTGTTCACATTTCTGTCCATATATTAGAAAATAATTTGATTAGTCTGATTTTTCATAGCTATGAACAAAGCATAACATTGTCTGAAACTTATCCCGCATGATTTACAAATCTTCTTACCCTTAAAATGTTATGACATTTAAAACCAATGAGCTATTAAATCATGTTTTGTATTGTTTTTAGCAGCACAGCTTCATTACAGCCTTTTAGGGACACTTTTATCTCATGTTTTATAGGAGTAAAGCTTCTCTTTGATCTGTGTGTTGAGCAGAGAATTCTATCAGTTGGAATCAGGACACCAGATGTTATTTATTAAACTCTAAAGTAGTCTAAAAGTGTTGCTGAGGTTCTGAAGGCTTTCTGAAACCTTTGCCCACACATTTTACAATTGTACTGATACATGATAGATTTAGATTAAAACTTATAACATATGTTTTATAAGAAGTGAAGACATTTCAGTAGAGATGTTTTTCATTTAAATAATTAAACGATAAAAAGTACAATCCATTGGAGGAACAAATACTGTTTAAACCACAATACAATCACTGACAGCTGACATCTTCTAAGAAGCAGGACACCAGAGGTTTCTTATATGATAAACCCTGAAATAAGTAAATCAAACACTAAACTTGTCTAAAATACTGCAAGTAATGCTGACATTCATGGAGTTTTATGAAACCTTAACCCACACATTGTACAATTTTACTGGTATATCGAAAAATTTCAATTGAAACTTATACCGTATATTTTACAAGCAGTGAAGACATCTCTGAAGAACTTCTGTTTTTTATTTTCAAATCCTTTAGCTGCATAAATTGCTCTCAACCTATTGATTCATTATAGAGCTACTAAAATGTTTAGCATGGGAAGGAGGAGCTGAGAGAACAGAAAGTACAGATCAGAGAGGAGACAGGGAGATTCAGGGAGGAGCTGAGCTGCTTTTGAAGTGTAGAAGAGACACAAACTTCCACATTCACCACAGTTCAACACACAAAGCACAAACATCAACTTTATCCAACATGGACTATTACGTACTTTCTCTGCTTATCATCAAGATTCTCACAGGTACGTTACATCACAGTGAAATATAGGTTCATTCTAAGCTGTTTTATGAAAATTTAAAACGGTTTTCTCTCTTTAGGTGTCAGCTGTGAAAAACTGTCTGCAGAGGAGAAGGAAGTGTCCACTTTAGAAGGCAGCTCTGTTACTCTGTCCTACAAATATGACCAAAAAGCATCTGGAAGTGATGAGTTTTACTGGTATCAACAATATCCAGGAAAACCACCAGAGTTCCTGATGTCTCATTTAGGATCAGGATCTATTGGAACACAAAAAGTCAGCGGACTGAAAATTGAAGTAAAGGATAAAGACGTTAAAATGCAGATCTCCTCTGCTGCAGTGACTGACTCTGCTGTGTACTACTGTGCTGTGAGGCCCACAGTGACAGGAAACAGCACAACTCTGTAGAAAAACCTCTGGAGCAAAGACAACACAACACTCCGCAACATCCACTAGAGGGACTCACACACTGTTTCCCTTTTATAGTTTTTGTGCAGTCAGATGAAATTCTTTGACACTGTGCATGTTGAGCTGTCTGAAAAGGATTGAAAACTGATAGATGATGTTAATATTTTTCCACATTCTGCCTTCTAGAAAATAATGTTGAGTAATTTCATTTTTCATAGCTATGAACAAATTATAAAATTTTCTGAAACTTATCCCGGACGTTTTACAGATCTTCTTACGCTTAAAAAGTTATGACATTTAAAACCAATGAGCCATTAAATCTTCGTTTATATTCTTTGAAGCAGCACAGCTTTATTACAGCCCTTTTAGGGACACTTTTACGCATGTTTTAAATGATCAAAGCATCTCTTGGATCTATGTGTTGAGCAGAGAATTCTATCAGTGGGTATCAGGAGACTAGATTTTTTTTTATTACAGAAACCCTGAAATAAGTCAATCAAACTCTAAGGTGGTCTAATATTCTATAAATGTTGCTGAGGTTCTCAAAGATTTGTGCAACCTTTTCCCACACATTTTACAATTTTACTGATACATGATAAATTTCAAATAAAACTCATTCCGTACGTTTTACAGTAAGTGAAGAAATTTCTGAGTAACTTTTTTTTCTTTTTAATAATATAGCTGATAAAAAGCAGAATTTGTCGGAGGAACAAATACTGTTTAAACCACAAAACAATGACTGCCGTCAGCTTCTTACTGATGACCCTTTCAGCTGACACCTGCTAAGAGGCAGAACACCAGAGGTTTTTTTATACTAGAAACCCAGAAATAAATCAATCAAACTCTAAACTTGTCTAAAATACTGCAAGAAATGCTGAGCTTCATAAAGGTTCTGTGGAAACTTTTCCTACACATTGTACAATTTTCCTGGTACATGGGAACATTTTAATTGAAACTTATACCGTATATTTTACAAGAAGTGAACACATTTCAGAAAAACTTCTGTTTAAAAAAACTCCTTTAGCTGATTGAAAAGCATAAATTTCTCTCCACCTATTAATCCAGTATGGAGGTAGTAAACTGTGTAGCAGGAGGAAGAGGAGCTGAGAGAAAAGAAAGTACAGATCAGAGGGGAGACGGAGAGATTCAGGGAGGAGCTGAGCTGCTTCTGAACTATAGAAGAGACACAAACTTCCACATTCAACACAGTTCAACACACAACGAACAAACATCACCTTTATCCAACATGCTGTCTTTGCAGACATTTGGATTCACTCTGCAGTTTCTGCTCATTGTAACAGGTTTGTTTGATTATTTAAAGACACATTTCAGCATTTTCTCTTTGTTCTTCACTTATTTGTTTTCTCTCTTCCTTTAGGTGTCAGCTGTGAAAAACTGTCTGCAGAGGAGAAGGAAGTGTCCACTTTAGAAGGCAGCTCTGTTACTCTTTCCTACAAATATGACCAAAAAGCAACTGGAAGTGATTACTTTTTCTGGTATCGACAATATCCAGGAAAACCACCAGAGTTCCTGATCTCTCATTCAGGTTCAGGAGGAAAAATATCAGATCCAGTTGATGGACTGTCTTATACAGTGAGTGAAGATAAAACACAGATGGATCTGCAGATCTCCTCTGCTGCAGTGACAGACTCTGCTGTGTACTACTGTGCTCTGCAGCCCACAGTGACAGGAAACAGCACAACTCTGTACAAAAACCTCTGGAGCAAAGACAACACAATACTCCACAACATCCACCAGAGGGACTCACACACTATTTCACTTCTATAGTTTGTGAGCAGTCAGATGATATTCTTAAAGACGGTTCATGTTGAGCTGTGTGAAAAGGATTCAAACTTAGAGATGAGGCTAAAACCTTTCAACATTCCGCCTTTTTGTTCACATTTCTCTATTTATGTTTGAACTGAATTCTGATCAATCTGAACTTTTATAGCTATGAACAAAATATAACAATGTCTAAAACTTATCCCAGATGTTTTACAGATTTTCTTACCGTTAAAGTTATGACATTTAAAACCAATGAACCATTACATCTTCTTTCTTTTTTTCGTAGCAGAAAAGCTTCTTCACAGCCCGTTGAGGGACACTTTTGCCACATGTTTTACAGGAGTAAAGCTTCTTTTTGATTTATGTGTTGGGCAGAAAATTATATCAGTGGGAAGCAAGACAACAGATGTTTTTATACCATAACCCCAAAATAAGTAAATAAAACTCTAAAGTGGTCTAAAATACTGTAGGTGTTGCTGAGGTTCTGAAAGCTATGTCCAACCTTTTCCAACATGTTTTCCAATTTTACTGTTACATGATACATTTCAATTAAAACTTATACCACATGTTTTACAAGAAATGAAGAAATTTGGGAGGAACTTTTTTTCATTTAAATAATTAAAGAACATTTGGAAGAACAAATACTGTTCAAACCAAAAAACAATTCT